TTATCATGTTATACTTACATTAGACACAATGTTATAAATGCATATGTGTGTATTTATTTATTTATTGTATCATTAAAGTGTAGTGTATATTAATATACAAGCGATAGAGTAGGTAATTGATTTGACACTATATTGTTTAAACCCAACTAAACGCTAAATTGTACATTCCCAAACAACAATCATATTATGTCAATTGCCACCAGAATTTCTGGTAATCTTTTTCTTTGCCAAGAAATCCAAACTACTTGGGGTCGGCCACCCTTATCATAAGCTTCCACTTGACACGATTTCCCACATCTTCTACGCTCACATCAGCTGTCCTCATGTCGCATTCAATAACATCCCTCAATCTCTTTTTTGGTCTTCCTCTACCTCTTCCTTCAAAATTCATTTCTACTGTTCTTACAGATTCCAATTCTCCTCTGCTCATAACATGACTAAACAATCTAAGTCTATTTTCTGTCATCTTATCCACTATTGACGCAACACCTATACTTCCTCTTATGTAGTCGTTCCTTATCCTATCTTCTCTAGTCACTCCACTCATCTAATTAAGCATTCTCATCTCTGCAACACTTGTTCTCTGCTCTACTTTTTTATCAACCGCCCAACACTATGAACCATACATCATAGCTGGCCACACAATTTCATACTAAATTTAAAAACTATAATTAGTATTTATTCATACATTATATTTTAAAATCAAAGAACTACTAATCAAGATATAATTAAAGAAATAAGAGTTGATGTTGCTTTTAAAATATTTCATCAATTTCTCTAAAGGAAACACTATCTACAGATTTGCATCGAAGCGTTTCTTATGATAGTGATTTTAATCACTGTCAGATGTCATCTATACTTGTCCCATCTATGCCTCGTCCACACTGTGCTACCGTTTTTTTTTAAACTAAATTAATCTTATTTTTGTGGCATAAATATAAAATTATTAATTACAATGACAATGAATAAAGTTATTAATACTATGATATTAAAAAAAAATGATTATTGTCTTTTTACCAAATTCATGGTGGGCCTTTCTGAAAAGACACTTCATTAATGCAAGCCAAATAATTTTATCGAAATACAACTTAATTTATACATTAAAAATAACTATTTTGTATATTTAAAACTTATCTTCTTTTTTTTTTTTAGTACAGTAGAGCTTTGATTATTTTAACCAATTGGGACTACTCCAATACGGTCACATAAATATTCAGATAGCTAGATTTTTTTTGACCACATGTAAGCACAAAATAAAGGTAATTTAATAATATTATAATATTCATTTTATGAACATAAAATTTCAGTCCGATTAATCGAAGTAGTGTAATTTAAAAACTAATTAACGATATTCGTAACTATATGTAAATATGACTTTAACTTTATGCTTGAACATAATAAAATTTTCATTATTCCTCGGTGGCCAATAATGAATAGGTCCACCACGTATAATAGTAATTTTTTGGTTGCGCGAGTCATCAACAAAAATAAAGCATAAATATTTAATAGATATTTGAGGTTAACTAAAGTGACTGCTAAAAGTTCGTTGCCCTTAATTTATGGTCAAGGTAAAATGTGTTATACAAGCATTTTATTTCATAAATATAATTTAAAAAATACTACCTTATATCAGTCAGATATTGCAAAAAATTATTATTTATATATCTGAAATTATTAGTAATTTATATATAATATTTAGCAAACAGTACATATTTTTTATTTTATGGATCCATAACTTTGTTTTCAAACGATCTTATCTGCACATAGCGTAGAAGGATCACATATATTCTGTCTCATTTAAACTTAAACTTGTCTACTATCATTTAGTTAATTTATTTATTTTAATAACTGAGAAATTGAGGTAAAATGCATTTTTATTAAAAATTAACTTAAAGAGACATTACCCCTCTAAATGAGTATTACAGTTAAAGTTAAAGTTAAGAACCACTATTATCATAGCTATGATATATGTATACTAAATATATACATATATATGTATATATAATATACATATATACAGGGTGCTTCTTTTATTTTTTGTAATTTGATTCCTCTTAAAATAATACTTATATAAAAAATAATAATTTTTTGAATTTTTATAGTTTCATATATTTTTAATTTATTAATTATAATAATTTTATCAATTCATCTTTTATACATTATAAGGCTGTCAACTTAATTATTTTAAATAACAACATACATATTTACTAGATTAAAATATTAAAACAATTTAAAGTTGAAAATATAAAATCACAAAAGTAGCATGTTTTTTAATTACGCGCGACCATTTGCATATTTTATATGTAAATGGTCGATAAGTTGTCAGAAATATTTTTTTTCAATTCATAGTGTTCAGACTGATCAGTTTATCATAAAACACTCGATTAATATCAAAAATATTGAAAATTTATTATATAATAATAATTTTTATGATGGTAAATTACAATAATTAAGTACACTTAATAGAGTTATTTTTCACAAAAAAAAAACGTTTTTCTCAATACAACAATTAAAAACATAATCATAAAAATGAATCTATAAACTGTGTTTTATTTTTACAAGAAATTATTGAATTATTCCAAAGGAACATTTAGTATTGTAATTATTACGGAGAAATCATAAAAAGTTATAGAATTATTGTAGATATTGTAGAAATATTAGCCACTCGATTACTCTTAAATAGTAATTATATAAAAAAAATTATTTTTAATATTTTTTAATCTTTTATATTTCTCAATTTATTATTTATTAGGTATTTTCAGTTCATCCCTTATACATTAAAAGGACATCGACATATATTATTAAATGATAACATATGTTTTTAACTAGCTTAAAAAATAGGTAATGTTTTAATTTAAAAAAAACCTTGTTGATAACTTTTGGACTAGTAATTTGAAAGTTATTGACGTTTTTATAAATAGGTGGGAAGGGAGATTCGCCAAAAAATTTCTATTGATAAATATTGTCATACCTGCGCTTTACCCACAGTCAATATTTTAGTTGCACATTCTATATGTGTTTAGAGTTGATGATTGTAACACTGTTCTTGAATACGTATATGTGATTTATTCATATATTTTCGAGTTAAATATTTTAAATAATTTTCTGTCTTCTATAATATTAGCAACAAGTGATCAATTCTTATTATTTAATTTTCTTAGGTCGCACCCTTAAATTTTTTTCACATAAATTAAAAGTTAATCTATACAAAATCAAAAATTATAAATTCAATGGTTTATTTGTAAATATTATATCAAAATGATAACTTTTTACAAACATTTTTTATAGACTTTCATAAAATAATGTTTTTTTATAAATGGAATTATATAAAAGTTTTTAAATGTACTAAAAAAATGCATAAAAATTTTTTTCAATTAGTATAGGAAGATGCTTACAATTTATGAATTTTTACCTTGTTTCATCGTTAGCAAACACATAAACATTTTTTTCTTTTACAAAGCTTATTAAATATTAAATTTTAAATATATGTATATGTATATACATATATAAATATATAAATATATATGAACATTTTTTTATAACTAGAACGGTTTATCGTATATATAAATTGTTAAAATATATTAAATTTACTGGTAAAAATCATTTATTTTGGTGAAGAGGGGGGTAGATATTTGACTTATTTTTTTTTTGTAATAATTTTTTTACGTAAAACAGTTTTATCTATAAGTTCCTTCATATTCATTTTTACGTATAAATAAAAATGTTGTAGTTATAGCACATTAGGTGAAAAACTTATGATTGAATTTTCAACTCTCTCTGGACGCACAGGGGAGACTGAGAGAACTACGGTCACCTTAGCGAAAATTGTTATATCTCTGGTTCTAAGACTAAATGTTATGCTATTACAACAAATAGATACATAAACATATTGACTGCATTTTGTCAAAGTCTCATATTTTTAAAACATAATCTTATACATATAAATGTATATAATTTTTTTTTAATGCAAATTACCGGTATTCCCGGTCATACATAAATACATACAAAAAGAAAGTAAAATAAATTAATTTTAAAAAAATCACTGAAATATAGTTCATATAAATTATAAATATTTCATTTTTTCTTACCTTAAATTATACTTCTTAAAAAAATTTTTTTTAGATAAATAAACGCTGAAAACTATTATTACACATTTAAACGTGAAAACGTTTTTTGATAATATCGTTCTAATAAGAATAAGATTTTTTTATCATTCTTAATGTATACATATGGTCAAAATAATTCTAGATGCGTAGGTTTATTAGATAATGAGGTAACCGGTATTACCCACTGACCATAGTCTCCCCTATTAATTTTGACTTATGGTTTCCAAATTCTGTAAATTTTTAATGTATTAGAACAAATTTTAGGGGTACAGGCATCAAAATTTAAACCATAAAAATTATAAAATTTGTACTAAATACTTTTTTTACTTTTAAATTATGAATATTATTCATACAAAAACTAATAATAATCAAAATTTATCCTAGAAATTAATGTTATTTATATAAATATTATGATATTTATTATTTGATATTCATGATATATATGCTAATAATAATATATTTGTGTTACCAATGTAAAAATGTTAGTTTGTGTTCACTTGGCGGTCATGGTACTGGACTACTCGAAGATGATATATTTTTTTTCATAGTTTTCATCTTATATTATTTTGGAATAGTTAACACAACTATACCACGACTTTACTGTGCTGGGTTTTTACACTTCAAAATGTTTAATTTGATATCTATTTAAATAACCAAGTCATTCTAAAATACTTTCAAAAAATTGAGTTGATAGAAACATTTTTACATGCGTGCGATATTTGTTTCAAACCTTCAATACTTAAGTTTCATTGGATTTTAATAAATATCATACTAAATAAAAGCTAATTGTTTCTAGTTTACTCAAATAAAATTTCATTGTGATTCGTGACTTTTGAAAAAGTTATAATTGTTTTAAAATGCAAAATTAAAATTTTGAATATGCTTTTTTTTTAGTGTATTTTTGAAATATTTAGAACTAAGGAAATTTTCAAAACATTTCGGAGCTTTCAGGTTCAACTACATTAATATCGGGTTCTTTTAACACATAAACCGGTAAAATCGGTTCAGTTAAAGTAGAGATTGTTTTTGGTCAAACAAAAAAAAAAAACACATAATGAAATCATAATCTCCTCGGCTTCATTTCGAAACTAAAAATAGTAATACATTTTTTGTTTCTTAGAGTTTACATTATTATTATTAACATTTATGGGGGGTTTGTTTACAAAAAAAAAAAAATAAATAATTATGTTATTTATTTATAATTAATTTTTTATAGATTAATATGTGGGATGATAATAATATGACTGATTCAGCAAATAATACATCCACAACAGTTATACAATCTATTTTAAGTACAACCATGATGTCCAATGATCCATTGTCTGATAGCGATGCTGTGTCACCGGTAACATTAAGTGTTGAATGGAGCAGAGTAGCAAGATTACTAATCATGATTGGACTGTCGGTTATTGGTAGTATAGGTAATGTCTACATGATAAGCTCGGTCATGATTGAAGATCACTTAAACAAAAGAGGTAAGGTTTTTACTAAAGTTAAATAATAATAGTAATAAAATTAATAATGGTCGCAAATCATACTAAGCTTTGCTGGAACATAATGCAAATTGAATTTATGGCAATCTTAAACATAACATTTAACATTTTTGAAGAAATTGACTTTTTTATCATTGTTCAAAAAATGTTTTACAATAGCTTTTTTGTGATCCTATGAGGATTGATTTTTACGCTTCTTACGATTGTTAAGCTACAAACGCCTTTACTTCGTCTCTACAAGCAAGGACAAGACTGGCAGATTTCGACACATACTAACAGTATGTGTTTAGCGTTGATAATAGTAACATTATTTCCGAAATACGTATCAGCGATTTTTCAGTAATTTTTTGTGGCTTTTTGAATTTAATATTTTATTATTTTTTAAATTAATAATATTTTTAATATAGTTATAATTTTATTTAATGATTATTTTCATCACTTCGTATTTTAGAGCAGTAATTTTCTTATTTTTCTCTTTAGCACAACTATTGTTTAAGAAAGACATTAGCATGATATACATAAACATTTTTTTGTATATTTAAAACATATGTAAAAAAATATAAAAATTATTGATCACTGTGGCTAACATTTTTTAAAATTAAAAATATTAATTTAAAACTAAAAAATATTTAACTTTAAAATCCATACAATTTTTTTTAAAAATCACGGATCCCTATAACGGGAACAATGTTACCATTTTAACTATTATTCTATTACGTTTTTGTTATTACAGTGTTAGTGTATACTAAAATTGATGAATAATAATTTTATTATACAATAGAACAAGAAAAAAATGCTTTTCTGAGATTATTACTTAGTGTGCTCCACTTTTCAAAATTTTTTTTTTCAACAAAAGTACTCGGTCACGAGATTCCAGGAACGTTATTCGCAAAGATCGGAAATTTTTACCGCGAGCGTTTTACAATTTCGACTGTTTTTTCGATAAACACTTGATGAAGCCAGCATTTTACGACTTAAGGTTTGATATTTTCACCAGAACCGCCTAAAAACACTTCTGAAATACCATAAAAAATGTCCTAAAGAGGCGCCTTCAGTGTGTGAGTCTCATAGGACCCCAGGTCTGGGGCGGAGTCATATCTAGGCGAGACCAAGTGTTAAGTATAATAATTTCAGCATACAATTACAATCAACGCATGTAATAGTATTCAGACTAGAATATTATTTTTACTTTTATTTTTGGTGTCAATTTTTTTCAAATAAATTGAATTCACTTGAAAGTATTTTAATTATACTACATTTATTTTTATAATACAGGTATATCTAGCAAAGTTCATTATACATCAAGTTTTTTATTTCATTATGCATACTAATTTACAGCATGACTGTAGCCTGGGCGTATCCTACTTTGTTTAATATGATATATGTAATTTGTGTTAGATGTAAAAATAAATGATATTTTGATAATTAAAAGTGGATAATTTAATTTAAAAAGCGTATATAAAGTTATTTTTGAATATACAATATAATTGTATTAGTTAACTGAAGAAAAAATTTAAAACTGTTTAACTTGTAACCTAAAATAATTTAAAAAATTGTATTTGTTAAACTTTTCTAAAAAGTTGGAAAAATTATATTCAATATGCTTCTTATTAATTTACAAAAGATCAATTATAAAATGCATCAAAGTCAACATTTATTTGATATTTTTACTAGAATTAACACTTTAAAATAATATTCATAAATAATTAAAATAACATTAACCTGGTTCTTACAAGATGATGTCGTTTATTTGTATGCGAAAAATTTTTTTTTTTTAAATATTCCTATAGGTTAATAGAATGCAAACATAAGGTATATCCTCCGTCTATGTATTAATAAAATCATTATCAACGTTATTGCAAAATTTATATTGAAAATTCAATAATTTATTTAAAACTGTTTTATTACTCATAAGAGTTATTTATTTTATCTTCATATCGTCAACGTGGAGAGAACTATAACCTAACAGTTTATATATAGATTCCGTATCATTCAATGTTTTTAAAATTAAAAAATACAGTTAATTACCCCATACAATTTTTTTTTAGACTTGTCATAATTTATGAATAAATTAATAAATTTAGATAGATATTTATAAAAGCTAAGAATTATTGTATAAATTTAAAATTGCAACTTTAGTAAGTATTAAATTATAATAATTTTCAGCTTTAAAGAACACAATAGAAATTATTTATAAAAATAATATTTAGTTTGTATAGTTCTATTATAGATAAATAGTTCATGAAGTTTTGTGTTTTTAAATATGATAAAAGGCGAGATAAGATTTAAAATTAAATATTGACTTCAATAATTCATAAACTAATTTAGGCTGTTTGATTTTATAATGTAGATAACTATTTTCTACAAAATATTTGTTTGTTTACAATTAATTACTTAATAATAAAAATATTAATAATTAATTTTTTTTTCTATTGTTCAGAATTGGAACAGACCATTATGATAATATCTTAGAAAAACATTAATAAAAATACTTCTAGTCATTATGATAAAATTATAAGTCAAATTGAGAGTATAAAAGATTGTAAATTTCATTCAAATAGCAAGCGGGTTTGAACTTTTATAAATTAACATTAACTTATAAATGTCAGTTTATAAATTACGAAAAGTTTATATTTTTTAACCTTTCCTTAAAAAATATTACTAATAAAATTATAAAGTTTTAAGAAGTTTACGATAACATTTACACTTTGAATGTATATTTGAATGAAAATTTTAATTTTCACTTTAATTTTCTAATTTATTTTTTGTTTACTATTGTTAATTGTAATATGTCCCGGATAAAAATATTGAAAGGTCTGAGGCCAAAAATTTAAATAAAGTTCCTAAATTATATGCGTCATTTAAGCTTTCTATTTTATTCTGTATTATAATAAAAAAAACCTTAAGTGACATTTTGAGTATAAAAGATACAAGGGCATAGTTGTATAAAATATTAAATAAATTATTTAATTTAAAATACTTTTTATTCAATATTTTATTAAAATATCAAAAGTTAAGTAAAAAAAGTTGACACATAAATTTTATTTGAATTATTCTCTGATTTAATTTATTAAATTATTCTTAGTTATAGAATAATAGTTATTAACATAACATTGTAATATGATTATAGTTATTATGTTTTAATAATTATGATAGTTAAGTTAATTTTAAGAGTTCACTTGAAAATGTTTAGACTTTCTGAAGTGAAACTTCTTTACAAAGTGTCCGAAAAGAAAAAAATTATCAGGCATCACGTTTTACTGTAACGTTTGGCCGTCTCGGACGGATTGTTTTATTATGTATACGGTCTATTGTTCCGCGAACGTTAAGTTCATCAAGCGTATTCTATTGTTCTATTAATTATACGATTAAAAGTTTATTTTTTGATGAATGTGTAAGTCCAATAAACATATAAGTTTGATAAATGTCTGCGTTCAATAAACGTTTACGTTACAAAATTGTTTATAATTTCTTGTACTAATATAAATAAATATATTTTATTTTAAACTCATACTTGATTTCTATTATTAAACTATTTATTTATAATTAATATATTAAAATATCAAATGTTAATTTAATTCAAATGATGTGAAATTAAAAAATGCACTGCATTTTTTAGATTTAATAAATCGTCAAAATTATATAAATAATTTAATTACACTAAATCTAAGAAAAACAAATTGAAAATTGCATACATGTTAAATTAAAAATTATTTATGCACTTTAAACAATACCATAATTTTCAAAAATAAAGTGCTACACATATTTATTTATATAATTAAATTAAATCTATTTATTTTTAAAACTATATTAATTAAAATAAAAAAGTATACATAATTAATATTAAAAAAATATATTTATTAAATAATTTATTTTTATTTCAATTAATACACATATAAAAATAAATAATTATAACTAAATGAAAATATAATTTATTACTTAAATTATAATTCTTATTAATAAAAATAAAAATAGATAAAATTTATTATTTATATTAATAATTTACTTTTATTTATTATAAATAACAAATAATTATAAATTAATAATATAAAATTTAAACAAAATAGAAATTTGCAAACCAAAATCATACTTACTAAATTTATGCACGTAAATTAAAAAAAAAACTCGATCAATAATCAACAGATTTCAGGGTACCTTTGGTATGTCTTTGGGCAGACCTATTAAAACTTTCAAGTTTTAAATCGAAAAACGCTTTGGGCAATGATCATTTCTGATAAAATTTTTATACGCTCATGGTGTGTTAAAAATTTTTTTTTTATCTTTATGAACAATTTTTTTAAAATAACGTCATCTAGCTCTTTTGTTATAAAGAAAATCAAACATCGTTTAATAATTTTTCCAGCATTGGCTAAGTTTTCTGTTTTATTTTAAGACGTGAATAAAAATAAACATTATCTGTATGTACTTAAATTATTAAATAATAATAGTAAGTAATAAATTATATTTTATATTATAACTTAACATTGTTTTTTCGAAAATTAAAGTAATGTTATAATGCATTACATTATTTATTTCAAATAATGTAGATTGTGCATAAATCAATTAAAAATTCCATAATTGATGAAATTTTCACACAATAACTTCATAACGTCCAATCAAAAATTTACTTTAGTTATTTAATTTTTAGGTGTATTTTCTAATTTTATTTCAATATAAACCTAATATTCTATTAGTTGTATGACTGAAAGAAATTACATTTCATTTATGCGTACTCGTAATACGCATTAGTTTTTTTTATTCCTAAGAAGTATAGGCAATATTAAAATGTTAAACATGTTTGTGTGCCTATTTTGCATATTCTAAACGCCGTATTTTCTACATAACGTTAGAATTATAAATGTATAAATGTGTTGTTTAAAAATAAAAGTTACCTAAGTTTACAACGAAAAAATTTTCAAATTGAAAAATTTAATAATACTTTATATAATAACACCTTTAATAATACTTATTTTGAGACTCATAAGGTCAATTTACCAAATAATTTTCATATATTAGTATATAATCTAAACTTTTATAATAGTAAAAGAAATTGCCCATTTTACTAATCAATAGCAACACCTCATACCTTGATCATAATCGAATTCTAGGCAACTCTTTAATGTGTTGTCAAAAATTCAATACAATTTTATTATTTTCGAACAGTTTAAATGAGTTAACTTTCTTGAACCACTTCAGAAATATGAAATTTCCGACAAATCTTATAAAATTATAAATTTAAGTCTGCATTAACTTGAAACCTAACTCAGTATGCGACAGTTTGTTTAGTTAGGTTAATCTAAATAATTAAATACAAAATACAATAGTATATGTGCCACCAATTTTAAAGGATGATGGTACATGGGCTCGAAGTGGACAGGAAATATCTGAAACTTTTGCAAGTTACTTGGAATGTGTATTTCAACCTAACAACATACAATCTGATCTAAAAACACGACGTACTTAAACTACGATACCACTGATCAAACTACAGATCGCATTAAATATATCACGCCTCTTGAAGTTGCAAATGAGATAGATGAAAACCTTAATTCTAAAAAGTCGCCGGGTTATGATAGGATAAGTCCGCGTATAATTAAAGAATTATCTCACAAAGCAATCATCTTATTAACTTACATATTTAATGCCTGCTTACGTATAGAATATGTACCTGTAAATTGGAAAAAAGCACAAGTCATCATGTTATTAAAACCAGGAAAGCTGCCTGAGAGTACTAGTTCCTACAGGCCGATATCACTTCTTCCTACAATATCGAAACTTTTCGAAAAACTACTTTACATTAGATTGAATCCTATTATTCAAGAACGTCAACTAATTCCTAACCACCAGTTTGGATTTCGTACTAAACATTCCACCATAGATCAAGTACATCACGTTACAAACGTAATTAGTAGAGCTATGGAGGAAAAAAAGTATTGCTGTGGCGTTTTTCTCGACGTTTCTCAGGCCTTTGACCGCGTTTGGCATGAAGGCTTACTATATAAATTGAAAAAGCAGTTGCCTCGTACATGGTGTGGGCTACTAGATTCATACTTAGTAGAAAGACAGTTTCGGGTAAGTCACGAAGAAGCTGTATCTGAATGGAAAGGTATTAAAGCAGGGGTACCTCAAGGTAGTGTCCTCAGGCCTATACTTTATCTTCTTTATACATCTGATATTCCTACTAAAAATAAAACAACAACAGCTATGTTTGCTGATGACACAGCTATATTGTCATGTGATAAAGACCTTTCGATCGCCACAAAAAATTTGCAAATAAATGTTGATAGTATCCTTACATGGACAAAAAAATGGAAGATACTATTAAATAGTTCAAAATCAGTACACGTGAACTTTACAAATAGAGTAACAAAACCCAACCCGATAATGCTTGATGGTCAATTAACCTCACAAGAAAAGTCGGCAAAATATCTAGGTATGCATTTAGACTCTAAATTAAACTGGAGTATACACATTAAAATGAAATTAAAACAAATAAAGCAAAAAAGAAGTAATATGTATTGGTTAATTGGCCGGAGATCACAATTATCAATAGAAAATAAAAGATTACTTTATGTATCTATTTTAAAACCAATATGGACTTACGGCATTCCTACTATGGGGCTGTGCTAGCAAGTCTTGGATTGATAAAATTCAAACTATGCAAAACATTACTCTCCGTACTATTACCAATGCGTACATGTACGAAAAAAATGACAATATTCATAAGGATATGATGATACCAACCGTCAGAGAAGAAATTCAATGATATGCCAGGGCACATGAAAATCGTCTGAAGACCCACGTCAACAAGGCTGCTGCTCAATTGCTTGATTACTCACAAGATGTTAGAAGATTAAAAAAAAATAAACCATACGACTTATTGTAAATATATATTATTTAATGTAAATTTACTTAAGTTTGGAGACTCTTCACTGGAAGTTTCTCTCTTTCATTGTGTATAATATCTTAACTATACATTTTATGTAATTTTAGATGTAAACGTTTGTAAAAAATTTTGATTAAGACCGCAAGGTCTTCTCAAATATACAGGATGTTCAGTAAGTTAGGAAACAGTTAAATTGTTACAAACAATGAGTACAATAGAAATTCGTTTCCTTATTTACTGAACACTCTGTATATTACTTGTAATAAAAAAGAAAAAAAAACACAAAATACAATAAAAAATACAAATAGTTATTGTGGTTTTAATCACTATCAGGTTTAAATATTTTATGGTTTCCATTATAGAATCCTAACTATACTAGATTCTTAATACTCTAACTTTGATGTTTTATTTTCCTTGTATGGAGAATACTATATGGTCCAATACTATAATATATAGGGACTATGCCCCCTCTAGACCTCTCACATTACATCATTGATCTTGTGTTTACAAGATATTATGTTTTAGTGTAATTATTTATTTGATATCATTTAAAATTTTGTTAATAATAAAGTATATGTTAAAAATATAAAATGTTGGTAACATAATGAGACATAATACAGATATATAATTAGGATTGTCAGATTTCAATACAAAATATTGTTAATAATCACCTTAAAAATATATTTTTATTTATAACTTGAAACAAAGAAAATATTTTTTGAAATACTAAAATTTAAATGAACTATAAAATATTATTTTTGTGGTAGAAATTTAGCTTACTATTTTATTTTAAAAGGTAAATATAATTTTAATTCATTGTTAACAGGTAACACTTTTTTAGCAAATGTAGCATTAGCTGATTTACTGATCAGTGGATTAGTTATTCCTGCATCGGCAATAGTAATACTTGCTGGCCTACAAGATTCTCCTCCAGTGTGTCAATTTCAGTGGTTCATTTCTATACTTAGTTTTCTGGTAACTGTGATGACTATGATAGCAATAGCGGGTGAAAATTACATCCGACTGTGCCTTTCGCCTGAATGTTATGCTAAACTAACTGTGACAAAAATTACCATTTTGTTATTTGCTATTTGGATTTTAAGCTCCATTTTAGTTACCCTTCAATTTTTTTATCAGTTAGGACCAAACTACTGTGCAAAAAAAGTAAGTTTGTACAATTTGTTATGTTACAATAAACATAGTTATTAAATTAAAATTTTAGATTTTTTTTAAATGTAATTAGATTTTAATGTATTGATAGTATACCACAAAAATTAGTATTAATTTGTGAGAATTAATAGATTTGCTTCGAAGCGTTTTTTTATGATAGTGATGTTAATTTTTTCAAATATTGCACACATTTGTCCTAATTATAACACGATCCAACTATGATGTTCTTTTTTTATTATTCAACAACAATAAAAATACATTACTGTTATTAATTTTAAAGAACAGTTTGTATAAATGGCTCAACAAGTTTTGAGTGTATATAAGAATTGATCCCAAAACATCGTAATACAAGAACCTTACAATACGTCAAAAACATAATTTTTATTTAATAAAAATTTAGTATTTTTTGGTTATTTATTTTTTATAATAAGGGATAATTTATCTAATTCTTTAGATAAAAAACTTTTGATAAGTAAATATTAAATAGACCACGTGCTATAAATTCATTGGACATATTAAATATAACCCATAAATAAATATTATTTTTTAATAAAAGCCATAACACAGTGTGGACGTAGCATAAATGAGACAAAAAAAATTTGAACATAAAAGTAACATGTTTTTAATTACAGCAGCTATTTGTGCGTAGAACGATAGCTCGTCACAGTAGTGCATGTTTACTACAATTGCGAACATACTCACTTTATATATTAAAATATTTGTAACTCAATAATAAGTGGTCATACTAAAATTTATACCGACCCAAAATAATAATTTTTATAAAAAAATTACTTAAAACAAGTTGTTTTAAAATTGTGAAAAGAATTTTAATGATTAAAAATATAATTTTAACATAGTCTAAGTATGCATAAAATATAAAAAAAAAAATTGCACCGAAATGTTAATTCTGTACGGCTTTGTATAATAGATGATATTTCCCTCGGCAAATTTGAAATATTCCCCCAATATTTATTACTAACGAAAATATAAAAAAAGTTACAATTATTGTTAAATTCGAAAAAACCCAGCACAGGGGGGCCGCGGCACAGAGGTGACGTGGCATAGTTGGATCAAGTATAATGATATCTGACATTGATCAAAATCACTATCAAAAAAAGAAACGCTTCGATGCAAATCTTTAGATAGTGTTTAATTTTAAAAAATTGGTGGATTATTCCAAAAGCTTCATAAACTGCTAGTTCCTTATTAATATCCTGATAAAGATAAAGTATGTCGAATGAAAAAGAGATTATCAAAAAATATTATTTCTCATAAAAAAATTGTGTTGATCCATACACTTTTCATTAAGTTATAGCATTATAAAGTTAAAAATGTTAAAAATAAAATCGAGAATTTTCACACAAAAATAGCATTCGATAGCCATTTTCACCGTGAAAACAAAATAAAGCCCAACATTTTTTTTTCTATGATAACGTATATTACATTAGCTTTAATTTAAGATATATATAAAAGTGTCAGACTATCCGGAACATTTTCAAAAGTTAAGTTGAAAAAGTTAATTTTTTGTGAAAAAGTTGTCATTTTGAATTCCCCCTGTGGGCTGTTAATGGGTTTAATTTATAAAAAAAATATACCAAATGATAGGTAAAGACATCAAGCATCTATAAAAAAAAAAATTATACTGATTTGGTTATTTTTAAAAAAAGTTATAGCAATTGTAAGTAAAAAAAATTGAAAAAATTTTGAAAATTAGCGATTTTTAAATTTGTAATTTTTTTGGAGGTTTCCCCCATTTACGGGGAATGAGGGAATTTTATTCAATTTTTGAGGGTAACGTCTTCGACTAGATACGATTTGTGATCTTTTGACGTATCATTGAAAGATATCGGTTCGATGAGAGCTGAGAAAAAGTGGTAACAGACACAAAAAAAAAAAAATAACACATCACAGTAAAATTAATACCTTCTCAGCTTCGCATCGAAGCTAAAATTTTGCTTTTATTTTGTTATTTAAAATAATATTTACTATAACTTTTTTTTTTTGAAAGACTGGATGAAATTTTAATTGTGATACAACTATAGGCGTGTGAGAAAACAAACGGCTAAAGGGTTACAAAAACGTTAACAGTTCTGCTCGCTCCAAAAAAAGTCAAAAATTAATTTTGCTAGCTGGATTACGCTATTTATAGTGGGTCTCATTGTTTTTTGACATCGGCCCAAGAGGCAATTGTCTCTTTGCTTCCGTGACCAGTTCCCAACTAAAAATGCTTTTCAAATTTATTTTATTTTCAATTTTTAAAAATATTTAAATTTAAAGAAATATTGCGTTCCTTGGATTTTTTTGATGCTTTATGAATATATATTTTAACCTATATTAAATTAAATATCTTTAAATGCTGTTTATATATATATATATATATATGTGTGTGTGTGTGTGTGTGTGTGTGTGTAAAGTTAAATACTAGAATAACATGATAGACAACACATAATTAGTTACAAAAAAAAAATGTTTTGTTATGTTCAAAATAATTCAGGACGTCTAACAACTTAAAGTCTATACCAAATTATAAATTAAAAAATCTATATAAAGAAAAAGAAGTTTTAATAAAGATTTACTTCAAGATTATATAATAAAAATATTCAAATTTTTTTCTTGTAATAATAAATGGGCCTACAAAAAACAAATTTTTTTTATATAATATTATTTTTATTTTTGTTTTACTTTATTAATAATATTGTGGAAAATACGTATTTAGTTAGTTTTATTTATTTAGTTAAATTTCTAAAAAATTAAATTTTTTAAGGAGGATATAGAGAGTAAATCCTTTTGAACAATTATCAAGAATCATATGTATTTTACAAAAATTATTTTTCAAGGAGGAACGACAGATTTAGCTCTATTAAAACTATCATTACCCTGGACCTGGGCTTTTGTTCTTCTTAATAAAACGTTTAATATCGTGGAATAATACAAAAGTATTCAATTTTTAACTTTCTTTAAAAAACTATTCAAATGAGAGTTATTGCTACTAAAGTTTTTTCATAAAACTATTCTAAAAAATATTTCCACATATTTTGTGTATAACTAACGATTTCAGTCGATCACACAAATAAATATAAAAAAATTATTTAAAAAATGTCAATATTTTTAAAAATACATCTTTAATATGTCTATATATTGAGGGGCCATAATAACTCATTTTAATTATTAAAATGTTTGTATATAGTTTTTTATTTTTACAAATCCAATTTTAATTACAGATAAGCGGCATCATACCTATTCAAGTATTAGTGGCTGGAATGCTAGTGTTATTGCCATTGTGCATCACTGCTGCGCTGTATCTACGAATAACTTACCAAGTACACGTGGCTAGAATGAACCCGAGTTTCAAGCCGCCTCTTGCGTTCAACTGGGATTATTCATTAATGTTGGCAAATGCATATAGCTTCATCATGTTCCTCATTTTTTGGTCGCCGTTTGCAATAGTTATGGCTCTGGCGTCAGCACAAAAGGTGTCTGCGCAAGTATTCTACAATCTAGCATGGTTAGCACTAAGTAAATCGTGCTTTAATAATTTACTATATTGTGCGGGTAACAGACACTTCCGGAATGCTTATGTCAACCTGTTTCATTATTGTTGCTGCAAGACGACAGTTACTTTCTCTAGACGAGCGCGGGACGGTGCCAGTCGTCCATCTGGGGATGTTCGTGTACATATTATTCCAGGCTACAACATGTACTCATACACTAGTCCCACTAGATCTAGAGAATCTGGGTCTTGTCCGTTACAGAGTCGTCCCCGAACTAGAGCTAATGGAAATAGGGACGTTTATGAACTATAAATTTTAAAACTATTATAATTATATTTATTATAAAGCAATATACTATTGCTGTAAAAGTTTGTTATTTTACACTTTTTACCGTCATTACCAAACGGCTCATTATAATCTATTTTAAAGTATGCTAAGCGTTTTAAGTCAGTTTGTACTAGCTCTATTTTTAATCGATAAAGACCAAATTTTATTAAAATTTTAATTTAACGCATGCCGATTAAATATGTGCCATTTTTTTAAACTTAAATATATTTTTATCGCTTTTTATAAGTATGTGATGTGATTTATATAAACTTTGTATATGATGTATCAACCCGTAGACTAATCTGTGATGTATGTTATACGTCAAGGATTTAAAGATAATATCACATTTAATAATTGTGCCGTTACTTATATAAATATTGATAATCTTTATTCATTTTAGTGAACTTATGAGCAAACAAATTCATGTATTCTAGTTGTAATTTACAAGGTTATTATTTTGTCTATAGGGTTTTCTTTAATAACTTTAAAGTCTTTTACTTTGTTTCAACTTGTATTTAGAATATTGTTGAATGTATTCTATTTGGAATCCTGCAAAATTTAACGCAGACATTGGGTACATATCACACTGTCAAACTAAAAGAACACAATTTAAAGTAAATAAATTTTGATACTTAGTTATACTCATACATGTTAAAAATTATAAAAATAAAGTTGAAAACAATGTAACTTTTATGGGAGTTCGAAACTATGTTTAATAGTTTCTACGAAACTATGAAAATTTGAATGTTTTTTTTCAAGATGTGACCGTCTAGTTTTGACAGTGCGATATTAGTTCTAAGTTTTGAAAGTGAACTTATGTACATATATTATGTATCATAATTACTTAATCAGAGGCTTTTAGGGGACTGATTCCCTTGCCTATAACGACGGCCAAAAGCATTCACTTTAAAATTATTTCGAAATGTATTTACAGTAAAATCTTCTTATATTGAACGTTGCTCTGACGATTTTTTCTTTTTCCCTTAGATTTTATTTAAGATATTTTTTTCAAGTTTATAAAACCAGAGTTTGGTTGGGTTTTACGTTTTAAGCGTGTTTAAAACAACAAAATTATCAAAATTTACACATTTAAAATGATTAACTACTCATTGTTTCATCAATGAAATACTCAAAATGAATTTAATTATATAATTTACGTTCATTATGTCTAAGAAAATAGTTCTAGAGAAACACATTGATTAAATGAAAATATCATAGACATGAACGTTTTTGAATTTAAAAGAAATTTCAATTCATAAGTTAGAAGCAAATATTTTTATATTACGTAAGGTATAATCTAAAATAGAAACGTCAATCGTCGCCGGAAATTAGTATTAAGTAGGAAAATATGATACGCGAAAAGCCGTACTGTATGCGTCGTCATCTGTCAATCATTTATGTGTTATGAGTTAGAAACTAGCAAAGTATATTTATACTGAAGTCCATATAATATGTAGGAAAAAGTCTGTTATTCATTTGTTTCATAATGAAATTGACTTTCTGAAGGATTTTGGCTAAGCCAGACTCATTGATAAAATTAGAACACTATCACAAACCTTTTGACACAAACTGTCATTCTATGTAAGAAGATTTATTTCAAATTACAAACGATAAAACAGTTTAATACATTGGACTTATTAAATATTAAAAATATAAATATGAATAGTTAATACTGTCATTTCAATAATAAATTAAAGTTATACTTAAACATTGATGGGAATAGGGCGAGATGGAGAACTAAGTAAGCTTATTGGAAATAAAACCATCTATTAAAAACTTATTTTTGTTTGTTAATTATTAATATTACACATTTTTAACATAAGTATATTTTATGCTTGGTGTTCAATAATTAAGGAATCAGGTAAATTATAATAAATAATGAAAATGATTTTCTTCAGTGGCGTTATTTCAGTTTTATTTAGTGTGTAATCTTTTATTGAGCCACCTTGCTATATCTTTTACGATTATACTATTTTTTTAACAAAATAGGGTCGTCAAATTTTTTTTTATACTTTTATGTTGCATGAAAGATAATTTCAATAAAATAAATAAACTTTATTATTATTTTTTAGATTTATATTATTTAAAACAAATTTTAATGTTTAGTAGAAATTTTAAAATAAATTATATGCTTAAGAAATAGTTATCATTAAAAATAACAAACCTTTTGGATAATATGCACACGTAAGTTATAGTAAAAATGTATGATACATTAATATGAATAAGTAAAAACACTAATAGTATAACAAATAAAACATTACAATTAAAGAATATCTACTACTTTTCATTTTAGCGAAGACATCCACAGCTTTCAATAAATCAATATTATTTGGTATATCTTATTTGAACTACATTATTTAATTCATCAAAAATATTATTTTATAATTTGTAATTTTAATATTTAATAGTTTACATTTTTATTGATGTTTAATTCATCATCAATTTTCTTGGTTTATCAAATATGTAATTAGAAATTCCATGGAATGAAGAAGCAGCAGCTATCAAATTTTTAGTTTTCACTTTAAGACAGTACCTCTTTTTGTTTATCATTCAACATTATTTAATCATTTTTTAATATAATTGAATACCATGACACCCTTATTTTAACATTTTATGAATTTCATATTTAAGTTTAATCAAATACCATTAAATGACTTATTAATATGATATGGATAATACTCATACAATAGGTTCAATTGCTCTTTGTGGTCATTTGCAGATAGTCACCAAGTGACCAGATTTTTTCATAATTTAAATAGTAAACATAGTACATATACAACTCTATTAAAATGTATCTGTTTAAAAATATTTTGTTATTATTTGTAACACAGAATAAATAAATGTTGGTAGTTTATAAGGGCATTCACTAAATAAAAATACACATACGACCTGATTACAGGATACGGTCAAATATTTTGACACTGTGTATTATTTTCGTTAATCATTGAAAAATGCAGGGGTGCGACTGTTCACACTGCTACTATCCAAATGACATCCTCGATTTTCATTTTTTGAATAACCATTACTTTTTTAAAAATACATTGACATGGACGCCGATGATTGACGTCCAGTCATCGTGAGTGTACTGGAAATAATACTTTAAAAGAGCGATACGATATAGGATTATATTACATGACCCAAGGCATTCAAATTTACCACAAAGCCACTACACATTCGTGTTTCATATGTCTATGCACTTTCGTTTAAATTTAAATATGGTATGCGTCTAAGAGAAATGCGGTACGGTGTCAAGAGGCTTTATGAAGGTAAATTCCTAAATTATTTCCGGATTTAAAAAACCGTTAAAAAATAATCTTTTTTTTTTTGTTATAATATTTAGCAATTTAAATATTTTTTAGCAGCTTTAAGACTTAAATTGAAAGTTTTCCCAAACTTAAATCAAGGGAGGGTCCAAAAAGATGGATCCTTCTGAACCCAACCAAACACTATGGTTTAGTGATTTAAACGTTAAGAAATGGTAAATATTTTTTTTCATTATTATTTTTCAATTTTAAATTTTTATCAGATCGAATATCATCAATTAATACTATTAGAAATAGAATTTTTCATTCTTAATTATTTTTTTATCAAAAAAATTGAAATAGAAAAACTACATCATAGTGGCTATAGTCCGGGCAATCAAAGCTAACCATCAATTTTTAAAATAATTTCTTTAAAATTTGTCACCCTTCAAAATTCAGTTATTCAATGATTTTTGACACACTTTAATATGAATCAAAATATAGCCTAAGACATCAACTACAAATTAGTTCTTCATAGCTTTCAAAATAAGATCTTATATAATGTACTAAATTTAATGCTTAAAATCATATAACATTATGTACTAAAGTTTGGACCTTATCTGTAATTTGTTTTTTAAATAGAACTATTCTTGATTTTTATTACAACATTATTAATTCAAACTACATAATAAAATAAAACTTAAAAACCAAAATGATTGATTAATTTAATTAAAATAGATTAAGATATTTTAACTAAATGACTTTTAGTGTAATTTTTCATGATAACACAGTGGTATTATTCATAAAAAATTAATAAATAATAAAACTGATACACTTACAATAATCAAATACTATTGATACAAAGATTGCGCTATTAACAAACACGAGTTCATTATATTAACAGATTTATTAATATAATAATTTATTACGTTAACTCAACAATTTTTATTTATTATTACGTAACAATAGTTCGTTGTTTCGGTGAACAAAATCATTAGTATAAGAAAGATTTTTAATGAAATAATATTATTCATTGAATCAATGAAAAAAGTAAAATAAGCCAATGAATTTGGTTGTTATTGGTTAATAAATGCCGTTCATTTAAATTGCAAACAGTTTTATTTTAGTTTATAGATCATATTATAGGTTTAAATCTTATAAATCCACCCCTCGCTTACCCAACTAAGTATTCTTTTGATCGAGCACAAAAAAAAGTATGTGTTCTACAAAAATCTTAAGGTAGGGAGTATTCATTGGAAGTAGAAACTCCTCAAATCCGCTCCACTAAATTTTTTACTAGAAATCTTACTTTTAGATGGTCTTTGAACAAAAAAAAAAAAAGCCATCCAAAACAATATTTATCATAAATTTACAAAATAAATTTTTTTAGTCCTCCCCGAAAAATACGCGACTGTCTTAGTATTGTAGGATAAAACTAAAATTGATTTTTAAGAACTACCCTTATATGCACTTTAAGAACTTTTGAAAAGCTTGAAGATTAATGTTAATTTATGATTGTGAATTATTATAAGATGGTAGCATTTTGGAATTAAATATTTATCGTAAGAAAATCCCGTTTTCCTATCCTATTCATATCCTAAAATATTAGCACTAAAAATTTACAACCTTATAAAATATAAATACCAAAAAAAAAACTGTAAGTTTACTAGTTAAAAAAAAAATTAGCCAATCAAATTGTGGTCAATTACACAAGTCAAATTAATAAATGATACTCAATGAAAATTAAAAAAGTAATACGACCAGTTAAGATTTAATTATATATTGATTATTTATTTGAATCAACCGTATAAAGTTATTATATAAGACACTACCAATTTTAAACATAAGCATTTATATTTTTTAATTTTAAGATAATCGTTAGCAATGCTTTATATATTTATGTATTATAATGAAGTTTATAATTATATTTTTAAATTATTTAATAAAATATATAATTTTAGATAATTTGTTCTAGTATTGAAGTTTTTTCTTATAACAAAATATGTTTAATTCCATGTTTCAAAAGTAGAGTTACCTTTATTTTCCAGCAAACTGTTTAATTGTACCTAGACTATTTAAGTAAAACTGTGTTGTAGAATTTTGAGATATATAATACACATACAGAGTGATCAACTTATATTATCAACTTAACCATTAGATTTCAAAATAAATACAAAATGGAAAAAAAATATTTTCCTTTTTTTAGTTACGTATATATTTGATTTTTCAGATAATAATTACTTTATTACTTACTTAAGAATCATCCCTAATAATTTAAAAGTATATTAATTTTTTTTTTTTAATGTAAAGATACATATTTAACAAGCTTATAATTTTTAAAAATAATTTAATTAAGAAAAAGACGGGTAACAACTTTTGAACCAGTACTTCGAAATTCATTGACATTATTACACCCAAGTCGGATAAGAGATTCTAATGAAATAATACCAACACTTAATTTACATTTTAAATTTTAAAATGGTAATAACTTTTAAAATTATGGGTCGAAAATTGTTATCAACCATTAATTTTTTTAATTAAATCATTTTAAATTTTAGTAACTAGTAAAACAAAAAAATTGACACTCTATTATGGTGAAAAGGATGAATTAATAAAAGTAATTAATGACTTATTATTAATGTAATTAATAACTGGTAAATTGTAAAATATATGAAACTAAAAAATACAAAAAATATATTTTTAACATAATTATTATTTTAACAGAAACCGAGTGACCAGAGTTCAAAGAATCAAATAGTGTATCTCATTAAAAATATATCGTATTTTTTTTTTATAAATAATTCACAGTAAAAACAAAGATTACAACTTCAGTTATTACGTTATAAAATACAGTATTTTTACAATTTGTATGAGTTATAAATATAAATTGAATTTAGTTTTTAAAGAAAATATAATAAAAATACTATTTTTTTAATCATATTGTTGTCGTGTGAGAAATTTATCATTAATATTTTAATATACGTATCTATGTTAGTAAAACATATAATTTTATTGATTTCATTTAATAATAAAAAAAATGTTTTAGTTAAGGTTCCTAGAGAAATAAGGAACTAAATATTTTGTTTATACATAAATTTAGTACAATTTATATATTAGCTTATATCGGTTGACTTGTTCATAACATTTTTTTTGATTAATAATCATGAAGTAATGAAAGTTGGATATAGATTTTTTTCTTTGAAAAGTTATTAATTAACTTTAATTATAACTATAAATATACAGGAATCTATTTTTTTAACTGAGAAAACACAACATTAACTAAATCTTAAATTTAAAAATACATATAATTATGCTTTAACTTTTTTGTCTATATAATTTGAAGTTTTAGAAATATTATAGAGTATAATTGTGTAAATAATTTTGGAGGCTTTCAAACCATATGGTTTCTTATTATTTAAATATTTTAATAATTTTTTTTATTCTCTTACAATTAATAATAGTTATTAGAAAAAAAAAATGATTTTTCTTACAAAAGAATAAAAACGAACATTTGCCAATAACTCTACCTTGAGTATGATATATTAATTTTAATTAATATTATAATTATTTAAGTGAAAATTAAAAATATTTTATATATTGTTGTTACGAAATTTTCAATTGACTAGAAGTTTTTTATGTTATTTTTTGGTCATTGCTATTGAAAAGTGATAGCAAAAAGTATCACTTTCACCAATTTATATGTAATAAATTGTAATGAACACTTTATAACATGCATGACTAAAAGTTTTAAGATGTTCATAAAAAAAAAATACAATTATAAATACTTTAATCTTAATTACATATTTAAAGTACTTAAAAACTAATAATATAATATAATAAAATTGATAATATTCAAATATTTAAAACAACAGATATCAAGTAATATTTAATGAAGTTCAATGAAATAAAAATTTTTTGAAACAATTCAATATATTTTAAAGATATAACTTATTCTATTATGCATGCATTGATTTTATTTTTATTAAAATAATTTAATAAGTTACTTAGCCAGTAATCAATTTGATTAACTCATAAAATGTATACTATTCTACTTGAGGTATGTATAAGGAACTATTATTAAATAAGGTAATAATTTGTAAAAATTAATATTAACATTATATTTAGTTTAAAGTTTAATATTAACACTTTCTAAGGAATCAATACACCATTGAGGGTAAAATTTGTCAGGATACATATTTTCCATAAATTCTTTCACAAAGTCAGGAAATTTATTTATTTTTATACTATTTCGTATATTTTTCATCAGTTCCATTAAATAAGTTAAATTATGGACTGACAACAAATTACAAGCAACTGTTTCAACTGTAACAATCTGGTATAAATATGCACGAGAGTATGTCTTACAAGTAGAACAACTACAATTTTTATCAATTGGATCGAAATCAAATTCATACTTATTATTTTTCAAATTAATTTGTCCACTTGATATAAGTGCACATCCAAACCGTGCTGTTCTAGTTGGAAACACACAGTCAAACATATCAGCTCCTAATGCACAGCAAATAACCAAGTCAACTGGAAATCCTATTCCCATAACATACCTAGGTTTATTAAAGGGTAAAATATTTGTAGAAATAGCAACCATTTTCCAAAAGTAATCTTTAGCTTCACCACCACTAAGACCTCCAATAGCATATCCATTTACTTTTCTTTCCAAGTGTAAATTAGTACTAATTTTTCTTAAATTTTCATCAAGGCCTCCTTGAACAATTGGAAATAAATTTTGTTTTTCAGGATATTTATGGGTTTTTATGCAACGATCTAACCATCGGGTTGTTCTATAGGTAGCTTCTTCCATTCTATTACTATCATTTAATGTTGCAGGAACAACATCATCCAACTGCATAATGATATCTGCACCAATAGCATTTTGAATTTCAATAGACTTTTCAGGAGTAAGCATACACTTAGATCCATCTTCTGGCGATTGAAAATTGACACCATGTTCATCAATTTCAGCTAGTTTTAACAATGAGACCATTTGAAAGCCACCTGAATCAGTTAATATGGCCCGATTCCATCCAATAAAATTATGCAAGCCATTTGATTTTTTAAGTAATTCAATACCTGGCCTAATTCCTAAATGGTATGTATTTCCCAAAATAATTTGGCAATTAATTTTTTCTAATTGCTCAGGTAATAATGATTTAACAGATCCTTTAGTACCAACTGGCATAAAAATTGGTGTTTCTACAGTATAATGTGGAAGACGCATTAATCCAGTTCGAGCTCTTGAAAAACAACAGGATTTTAAAATATCATATTTTAGGGCATTATCCATAGTAAAAAATTTATTTCTTAACAATTTTACATCTAATCAAATTAGAAGATCTAAAAACAATAAAAAAACAAGAATAGAGTAAATTAAAAACCAAAGAATTATGGAACTATTAGGATTAATACATAAAATTTATATAAAAATTCAAAACTATTGTATACAACTAAATAATAAATGTTTAACATTAATTTTATTATTTATAGAAGCAAAAAAACATTATATTTTTATGCTAAAACACATTATATAAATATTATACAAATATTTTTTTATATAATTTAGAACCGGAAAAAAAAAATTATTAGTAGTATAAACAAAAAAAATTACATATAAAACACCAAAAAAACAAATTGTGATCAAATATTTTTTCTGTACATTTTATCATACATAAAAAAAACTATGAACATAAATAAACTAATTCCACTATTTATTTTAAAATTAAAAAAATAAAAATATAAAACATAAAAATATTAAAAATTATTTATTTATTGTGTAGAAGATATGAGCTGGTCAGAAGAAGATATTTTCAAGTAGCTCTTTTACTTGACATATATTTTAAATTTGAGTTAATATTTTTTCCTGAGATTATTTATATACTTTTATAACTTATTATTTATCAAAATTAAAAAGAAAAGAAATTTACTTATTTTTATTATAAAAAGAGTGAGTAACTTGTATCTTAATATTGAACTTAGATGAATTGGACTTCAATATTTTTGGTATGTAAAAAATCTATTTAATATTTGAAGAGAGACACCTTAAAGATTTATTTTAAAAATATGAATAAACCTTTATATATAAGTAGAAATCAGTGTTAGAAAGGAATTCATTTAAAAATTAATAGATTACTGTAACTATATTTATTTATTATAAATGGTTGAATATTATGTAGCACCAATTGAAAAAGATCTAATTGCAATATTATTAGCTTCGATGTGAAGCTGAGAAGGTATTAGTATTACTAAGTTTTTTTTGTCATGTCTGTTACCACTTTTTCTCAGCTCTAACTGGACCGATTTCTTTCAACGATACATCAATCTAACTTACATTAAATATGAATTTAAACTTAATTTGATTATTTTTCAACCTCAAAGTTAAGAAAGGTGACTTTGAATTTTTGTTTAGTTTAAATAGTTTTTTAATCTATTCGTACATGTAGTGTACAGTGTCATATAATTTACAGTCTTTTAGTTCAACTTGCAGGTTTTGAACTTATATTATTAAATAAAAAATTTTATGATGAATAAAATATAGTATTTTTTAGATTGATATGTGATTAGAAACTTATATTATTACTATTAACAGTAAATTTATATATATATAGGAAACTCAAAATTTCAATAAAAATGTTTTATTGTAATAAATCATTTAAATAGAAGTTTTAGTAAGCATTTGTATGCAGCTCTTGGAGTTAAAATAATTATTCATATCGATAGATTACACATAATTTTGCTTGTTCATATTTTTTTAATTAAGATATATTTATTGTTTATTCATACGTAACATAATAATCAAACATAAATATTTGTTATATTAATCAGAAGGATTTAGTTGTTATTTAGTCAATATACAAAACTTCGGGAATTCATTTTTATGAAAAACATTAATAAAGTTTACAGTCCTATTAAATTTTAGTATTTCTCATTATACTAAGTCGAGAAATATTTAAAGCTAACACGGCATTGGATTTAATCATGGCACAATGTTAAAGTGCTAATTGTAATTTTTTCCTCATTACGGCAAAAAACAAATTAATTTTGTCATAAATCAATTTATTATAAAAATAAATTACATTAATTTTACACTTAATTTAAATATACTTACTAATTATTGATAAATAATGATAGAATAGTATTATTATTTTCATTTATCTATTTTATTGATTTCAAATGATGTGTGCTTTAATTTAAAGCGTCTAAAAATAATTTAAAATTATCATAATAAACTAAATTAATTAATGACCAATTTCAAAACAAATAAAATTTGTTCATTAAGTCTCATAAAATAATTAATTATTGTTAACAACGATTGATGTTACTATCAACAAAAGGATAAGTATTAAAATCACGTGTTTTCTGAGTAGTGATTCATTTTATTTGGTTGGAATGCAATACATTTGTCATTTTTAGTAAGATTGAACGCTAGATAGCTCTTCTTGTAACCTATGTTAAACTCAATAGGTCTAGAGTGCTGTAATTAGAGTTTTATGCTGAATTTTTTATCCATTTTTGTAAATTTATTCATCTTTTATTTATTTCAATTATGACATTTTTTCGTAGTCCTATAAATGAATCACCTTTTTCTAAACTTTTCTAGCTTCTTATCTTAGATTTAGGTATAAACTAATCGTTATCAATCCTTGTTTATATCATTATCAAAGGTTGATAAATGATAACGGAAATATTCTTATAGAAACAAATTTGATTACAGTATTAAATATCATTCATATAATTAATATTGACTTTGCTGTACTCTTGCTAAGTTTTATATGACTATAAAATATCTGTGTGTGCAGTTTTAAATGAAGAATTTGTATATGTAAAAAATGATTTTTAGATAATTGTATCGTCGTTAATTAACTGTTCAATCTTCAATGTCGCCTAAGTATAATCTTGAATAAAACTAGATATTTATTTTAATAGATAAGTGTTCTACAATAGTATTTTATTTTACAGAAAAAGATCTCGACGAGGAGGAAGAAGTGGACGTGGTAGAGGAGTATCAAAAAGAGAAGGATTTAATAAAAATGGCCAATCTTTATCACCTGACGAATTAAATAATGATGAAAACGAAGGTGAAGAATTGCCCACTGATATATCATTTAAACATATTAAATCCCCAATGACACCTCCCAAACCTAAGATAGAAGAGGTATTTGAAGAAAAAGAACTTTCATTACCACGTTTGAAAACAACAAATATTCCAGAAAACTCAACATATATGTCATGTAAGTAAATTTATAAGTAATTAAAATTACTGTAAATAATAATATGAAATGTATCATAAACAATTAGTGTTGTCTCGAGAGCAAAACTCTGGTTACATTATGACTGATGATGAACTAGATCATCTTCAATGGGATCTTGAATCAATGTTAACTGCCGTTAATGTACGTAAACAAACTATCAAAGATGAACTTGCGACATTTGCTTCATTGCAGTTAGCACGCTCTCAACAAAAAAGAACAAAAGGTTCAAGATACACAAAAATTGTAAGATATTATTATAAAACAATAGTAAATGATATAATATCACTTAACATGTATTAACAAATCAACTTTTGTTTTTATGTTTTCTCTGACAGAGACCAAGAGCTGCAGCAGAAATTTCTCCTGTAAATGAATGTCGTAAAATTAAAGTAGAATTTGACCCTTCAGCCAAAGTAAGAAAATATTATTGTATTGTTTATACTAATATTAACTTAAATTTTATTAGGAATTACCTCCAAGTAAAAACGATTCAGCAAACAAATTTTGGACAATGGTTGAACCTTATGTAGCACCAATTGAAAAAGAAGATCTTAATGTAAGATTATTTTACTATTAAATTCAACAAAAATATTTTTAATGAAATTAATTTATTATATAAGTGGCTGGAAGATTTAGTAAAATCATACAGCTCCAATATGAAGCTATTTGAAATACCTCCTTTGGGAGAACATTACACTAAGCAATGGGCAAAAGAAGAAATGGAATTTCAAAAAAATCAATCCTCTTGCTCACCACGGCCAGCTAAAAGGCTCAAATTAGCAGAACGAGTTTCCCCTGAAGTAGTTGAACTTGTGAATAAAGTTAACTATGTTGTGTATGTAATCACTTATAAAAAAAATATTAAATGCTTATTTTTATATTTCTGAACTGATCTTGCAGGCATGATGGTTGTAGTTATACACCATTATTACAAAGACTTACAGCTGCTCTTGTTGAAGAAACATCAATTTCACTTGAAGAGCTTGAAGAAGATTTTCATGATATAGAAGGTTACTTTTATTTTTTTTTCAATACTTGCATTGTTTGTACTAAATGAAAAAATAATTTTCAGAATCTGAAGATAAACCTCAAGAAATGAGCAATGTTTGCACAGAATTTTATGCTGAACAATCTATAAGAAAACAATTGGTAAAATTAGGATTGTTGGGGCGTAAATGTAAAGTTCCACCTCCACCTCCTCCACCATCCTTACCAAAAAATGATGTATATTAATTATAATATAATTATTTAGTATATATTAAGTTTACTAACTTTCCTTTTATTTTTTAAATTCTTCTAGGACTTTGATGAAGTACTAGATGAACTAAAAAAATGTGAAGCTTCATTAACTGACCTAAGAGAAGTGAATAAAGAACACTTATCTCAATTATTGGAAAAATGCCGTCAAGAATTCTGTCGCCAAATTGTCAAGAATCAACTTGAAAAAGTGAATGATGAAGTAAAGGCTTTTAAATTTAATTTTATGTATTTTGATCATTAACATATTTTTAAATTATATACTTATAGATTTTACATTTCAAAAGGGAAAAAAATGAGTCACTCAACAAAGCTAAAAAAATTTCCCAAGTTCGTAAAGAAGATGAACAATTAGCAATATTGTTACAACAAAGAAGTGATTACTTGAGACAATTACAAATGATGGGACCTGAGCCTGGTTATCAGCCAGCTTTTTTATCAGATGAATCAGAACTAAGTGAAGAAGGATCTTACCCAACTAAACTGTTTATTAAAAAAGAATTAAATACTGATACTGAACAAGAAATAGATTTTGAGCAGCATACTGACATAAATTTAGAAAAGCCTATGATGATTAACATCAAACAAGAAGTTGTTGAAAATGTTTCTATAAAAGAGAATAAAATTTATAATGTTTCAGAAGCTATTGGTTATGAACACAATGATGTAAATGTTGAATCAATTGAAAATGAAGAAAATAAGATAATAAATGATGAAAGAGATGAATATGAAAAAATAGATGATACTAGTGATCACGGAGATTTTTATATTGAATCAGAAATAGAAACAAAAGAATGTGTAAAAGCAAAATTTAAAATAAAAAAGCAGGGTAGAACAAAAGATTTAGATACAAATAAATTAAATTTAATGACAACGCGCCATAGTGTAAAAACAAAACAAAGTTTTCTAGAAAATGATGTTAATACTAAAGTTGAATCACGTAAATCTTTTAAAATTAAACAAGAACCTGATGATGAAAACTCTTTAGATTCCTCGGATGTCTATTGTGGTATTAAAAGAGAACTTAGACCTAGAAAAGGAAAACATGAACCTATTTATTTTGAACCATATGATGGTGACACTAGTGAAACAACTGAATCATCTGATTTATCTGAATAATTCTTAAATATATGTTTACATATATACACAATTATATATTTTTTTAACTAAATAAATATTGATTTTTTTCAATGTATGTATTACATTTAAAAAATAGATTGTTTGTATTAAATGAGTATTTTTATAGTTAATTTTTATTCTTATGTAAATAGTTTATAATTTTACAAAAAATTGATTAATTACAAGTTATAACTAAGAAAATATGATGTATGTATAATTTAAAATTAAGAACTAATATAATTAATAATTTTTTTCTTTTAAGATTTTGTATTTTAATTTTATGAGCCAATTTGATAAGTTCAATCATTCAAATCACACATACATGTTAAAAAAATTTTTGTTTTGAATAAAGTTAATTTTTGAAAATTGTTAATAACAGTAATAAAAAAAGGTTTAATATAGTTGGTATCCAGCCTAGTAGAGATAAAACATATTAGAGACTTAAGCAACTGATAAATCGTAGAAATAAAATTTCGGGGAGTTTTTCAATTTTGTTTTTAAAGTAAATTGTTATAGCATTAATTTGATATAAGTTAAACACATTTTATAAGACAATAATGTTAATATGATGTTTAAGTCCTATTAATAATTAGGTTAATAATGTATTTTCCAAAAATAATTTGAAAGCTAAATAAATCTGAAGTGATTCCCATTAAAATTTCGTTATTATCTGTACCGTCTTCAAAAAATTTATCAATATAAATTTAAAACTGAATATATTAAAATCCACTGATATATAACAAATTATTTTTTTTTTTGGATACACCAAGAGTATAGGTTTAAAGAAGCATATCATATTAAATATGTTTATTGTTAAAAATGTTTTTTGGGGGTCGTTAAGTTATATTTTATATATATATATATATATAAAAGAATTGAATATGTTGCCATAACTTCTAGTTCAACTTGCAAGTTTGAAATTGACATTATTAAATAGAAAATTTTATGAATTAAAAATTTGTATCGTTTAGATTAATATACAGTCAGGAAATTTTATAATTACTATTTACAGTATATTTATGAGAAAAGCTCAATAATTTTTATTGCTAATACTTAAAAATAAACCATAGTAATAGTTTCTAAGTAACTCTTGGAGTTTAAAAAGATTCTACAATTGAAATATGAACTGAATTAATTTTAATGATTTACTTTAACTAAAAATCAAATAAAAAAAGTTTTTAAAAAGATTTACTCAATTGAGCGTATTATATAATTTGATTATAATTGTAAACATTCATCGTTAAATTCATGTGAAACTAAATATCGTTATTTTTTTTAAATTATGATTTATATAGCAACATGTTACAAAAAAATTTGGAATATTATAGACTGGAAGTAGCACACACAAGTTAAAAAATTAATAAATTACAAAGTAAAATTATTTACTTTTGTAGTTGAATACTTTTATCATATCAAATCTAATTCAACAATAAATACTTTAAAAATATTAGAAATGAATAATTCTAATTGTTTGTATGAAAAAAGCTGGTTAAGCTATTTCTTATTTGAATAAGAGATTTTTTTTTCAATTTTTAAGGGTAATATCTTCAACTAAATACGAATTGTAATCATTTGAAAAAAGTAGGTTAAGAAAAGGTTGAGAAAATAAATTATAGCCACAAAAAAAAATCACATAATAAAATAATATTAACATACATAAGACATTTTTTCTTACGAGGGGAGACTACAGTGGTGGGAACCTTGATATTTATTGAAGTTATTAAATCTAAACGAAATAAAAATCAAATGATTTCAACATTTTTTCTAACTAAAAAAAAAATGCAAAATATTATTAGCCACTGAAATATTATATTATTACATATAATATTAACAAATAATATGATGTTATCATTTGTACATGTATGTCACATATTATGATTATACAAGCTTGGAAAGCCAAAAGAGGGTTCTCTTATTTAAGATACAAAATAACCCTTTAATTATACTATAAAATCTCCCTCTTGTAGAAATTATTAAGTAACGCCTACACGCAGGGACCCTCTTTTAATTAACCAATTACAATACAAAGCCTCAGCTTCCAGGATCACGGTAGAGATCGTATAAAAAGCCCTTTTTCCCCATCTAAACCAGTTCTTTTGACGATTTTAAAATACACAAAATCTACGATACTCTACTCAAGATTTCACTCTAGCTAGTACATTAGCAACGAGACTAGCTAGGGTAGCTAGTCTCGTTGCTAATGTCTTTGTTTTAACAAACATCGTGCCGGCAGACAGATGTTATTTTTGTTATTTTTCTCGACTTCAAAAAAACAAAAAAATTTAAATATGTCAAATTTTTTATACTATATCAATTAGAATGATATAATATTTATGAAAATCAGTGCAATCCCCTTATAATAAAATAAAATACAAAACCAAGAATTTTAACACAAAAATAGCATATTTTTTAATACGGTAGCTATTTTCACCGTGCAGACAAAATAAAGTCCGAAAATTTTTTTTTTCATAATAAAGTATATTACATTAGCTTTAATTTAAGATATATATAAGAGTGTCAGTTTTTCCGGAACACTTTCAAAAGTTAAATTGAAAAAGTTAATAGTGGAAAGAAGCATCTACAAAGTTGAAAGAAATTGGTTCGGTGAGAGCTGAGAAAAGTGGTATCAGACACAAAAAAAAAAAATAAATAAATAAATTAAAAAAACCCAGCACAGTGGGGTCGCGGCATAGTGGGGAT